TATATATATATACAATGCGTTTATTTAAAAAGGGATGCATAATATAATGATGCATTCATGCAACGTCGCAAATGTTGGATACACCACTTTCTGAGTTAACTTGGTCAACTTTTGGTTTAATTACAATTTCAGTTAAAATGATAAATGGCAGTGGCATTGTAGCTCAGTTGGTAGAGCTGCTGCCTCTCAGCAAGAAGGTCGCCAGATTAAATCCCGGCTGGGGGGGGGGGGGGGCTTTCTGGGTGGAGTTTGTATGTTCACTTTGTGCATGTGTGCGTTTTCTCTGTGTACTCCAGTTTCCTCCCACAGACCAAAAATATGCACGTTAGGCTGATGGGTAACTCTAAATTATCCCTCGGTATGTGTGTGTGAAATATTACTTGTCTCGTTTGTCTCCATGTGTCCCTGTGATGGACTTGTTACCTGTCCAGAGTGTACCCCGCCTCTCGCACAATGGCACCAGTGACCAGAAAAGGAAGAAGTGGATAAAAATAATGGATGGACGGACGGATGGATGGATGTTAAATGTCCACAAAAATGACCTGGACATGTTAGAAAGGTTGTTTTTTCAACATCAGCATGACATTAAACCTTAAATAAAGAGACAAATAATGCAGATGACCTAATCTGGGTCATCTGGGATCATCCAGCCATTACATGACTGCAACATAATCAACCACACTCCACTATAGGTCAATGTGTGCAGGAAAAAAAATGATTTACTAATGTGATGTTTAATAGTGTATACAATTTTGGCAGCCCGGATTAAAAAGTGTAAGGGGCCACATATGGCCCATGGGAAGTAGTTTGCCCATGCCTGGTTTACAGAATGGCAGCCATCTTGAATTGGACTTTCTCCAAACATTAATCAGTTGTAGATCTACATCAAACAATTACTTTCAACACGTTTCATTAAAATGTTCTCTGTGGTGCACAGGATATTTTAGTTAAAAAAAATAGGCTCACAAACACATGCCACGCAGGTAAAAACATTATCGTCCGCTTTAGTCCTTTGGTGGCAGCTAATAAATATTAGCCAATAAGATGCAAAAAGCTATCAGGTTGTCCACATAAAGTGTTTAATAAAGTCAACTTTGATCCTAACGTGGCTTTCTCTTGGTGCCAAACCAACATCCAATCAGTCATTGGAGGGAAATATGGATTTAAAATTAAAGGTCTTTTTATGGTTCAACACCCACAAATTATTTTAAAAAGCCACACGTCTACGGTTTTTAGCATGTTTCTTTATGAGAAACACACTTTACTGTTAGAAGGAAGAGAAATGAAAAAAATAAGAAAGGCCCTGTGGAGACAAAACCATCACCAGACGTTATTGCAGCGGTATTTTTGAACCAGTGCGTCAGCGCTGCGCCGTGCCCAAACCACTTATTAAATCACAGAGAAGCCTATAGTGCCATAAAGAGAGAAGGCAAGTAGCTTGTTATTCTTTGGAAGAGGTGATCGGGCAGAGATCAATGGCTGCCGTGGTTTTCCCCCTCACCACAACTATGGTACTGCAAAGCACAGAGGGGCGCACGGCTCCAACCCGCACAGTCACACATATTAACTATTCCAGGGTGCTTTGAGAGAGGCTGCCAAGAATAATTTCCCACATGTAGCATTTTCCACAAAAGCCACAGAGTCATACTGGCACTCAGCATGCCCCTTCTGAACTGGTATGGCCTCTCCAGGGTGACTCAAGAGAATCAGTGACAAATCAGGTCTGTGGCATTCATTAGCAATTTTGAAGTTTGTGAGACAACGATGGACGTCTTCTTTTGTTGAATCAATGATGCATGTAGTTTTAAACGCATCATGTAAATGGGAATGGTAATGACAGTATGTGATGTGTGTGTGTGTGTGTGTGTGGGGGGGGGGGGGGCTTTGGCCATAAACCCCTCATCATTTCCACCAGAGATGAAGTCTGTCGTATCTTTATTTACTTGTCACTCAGCTGTTATGTTACTGTACCATAGTCTGTGTCTGTAATGACTTAGCTGCAGTTTCCAGCATCCATGACCCATTTAACACAAATTATTTTAAATATGAAAGTTATCAGCCAAACGTTCCCATTTGATATGCAAATTGGGAATGGGGTTTTGAAGGCACATTTGAGGTAAAAGGAACACATTTTAACACCATTTACACAAAGGTAAAGGGTCATCATTCTCACCCAAACCTTGATGAATAGCTATCCATCTATCTATCTGATAGATCAAAGCACTGTATGTTTCTCAAGGAAGCATGTTGAGCAGAAAGAATGATATGCCACAAAAATTACCGTAGTTTTTGCTGTATAAGTCACAGTTTTTAGCATAAATTAGCATGCCTGCAACTTATCCAGAGAAGCAAAGTATTTGTTTGTTTTTCTTCTTCCATATTTATAACCCAATTTTTGGCTGAGATCTGACAATTTCATTAATTCTGACAATATTGAACAGTACCATTTTCAGCCACTACAGGACCCTCGACTAATATGACAAGGCAAGTGTTTCATTAATATGTAAAATTGGTTATTAGTGAGACACTTGGCTTGCCATACCAAGCCACCTTTGTCTCGCTCCGGAACTTCTGGAGCAAATGTCAAATCAGCTGCATCAGGCGAAATGCAGCTGATTTGACCAATAAAGTGCATTTATTAAGGAAAAGTTCAAATAAGACACACCTCCCGCAGTCGACATTTGGCATAAAATACATTTTTGGCACAGCACCAGCCCACGTTTCTGGGTGGTCAGCGTAGTGGTGATGCGTAACAAACGCGACGTGTCAGCGGTGACGCATAATATATGTGACTTATATGGCCTAAGTGATGTATTTATGGTTTTTTTTCTCCACTTTATTAGATATTTTTGAACTGATGCGACTTACACGGTGGTGCAACGTGTAAGTCGACAAGTACGGTAACTTAAAAAAAATAAAATAAACTCCCCAAATTGTGTGGCAGTCTGAAATGACATCTGCATTAAAAACGACATAAATGGAGGAAAAAAAAAAAAGGTATTAGTTGTGTTCTTGCCAAATATATTCATTTTGTCCTCAAAGCGAGGGAAGGCAATAATTTAATTATCATTACCTTTGTTAACCAAACCGATAGTCCTTCATAGCTGTCATACCATACTTGCCTTCTTAGGAGTGAAACTCAAAAGAAATGAAACACATTTTTACAACTTTCATTAGGATCTATGGAACCACAAAACATCTGGAATCTGTATGACAAAGATGAAAAATTCTGCATAACATTTTTATATGTATCAGTTTGGGCTAAATCTGTATTTGTTTTGTTTAAATCCATTAGAAAGAAGAGAAGTACACTTGGTTTATGTTCTTGTTATTCTATTTTACCAGTTTGATTTTTCACTCACATTTGTTGAGAATTAGTATTTTTTTTATCAAGTTTTATGATTTCTGTTATTTTCCTTTTATCGACAGTAGTCTAAAAATGTAAATTGTAAATTAATTCTTAATCTGGACAAAAATATAATTATTTTATTTTGTACAAATTTATACAATGAAATGTGTAAATGGCCTTTTACAAAAGATATATAAAAAAAATAAGATCTCGGGTAACAATTACTATTTGTTTCCTGAAACTGCAACATTTTATCGATATATAAAATGTTAGTTATGACAGTGAAATCGTTATAAATATCCTATAAAAATTTGAAATGAAAAACTATGAAGAAAATTAGTCATAGGATAGAATTTAAGTTATTGTTTTATAAACAAGTGTCCAAAACTGAGCCATAGAAAATGCCAGACAAAACATTTCAGTACCTTGGTATGCATTATTTATCATCACCACCGATGAGTTCATTAACCTTTTTGCTTCTTTGTGGAAATACTAAGAAGAAACTGCTAACCATTATAGGACAACCTTTATTCATCCAACAAAAGAACAACAAACATTAATTGCATAAATAAATAAGTCAAATTTTATTGTCATTTGAATACTCCCGATATTTAAATTTACAAAGACTACTTGTAATTATAGTTCAAATGTACACAAGTCTCATTTTTATGTGTGTATATTTTATATATTTACAAAATCAGAGTCATGACTCTATTTAAAGTAAATCTTGTATAAGGCACAGACTTTCAAAGTACAACATATTTTGCAGCAATATACAGTATACTTTCCATTTTACTAAGTTTCCAGCAAGAAAAATGAACAAAAAATTGTTTTATTTCTAAAGCTAAAAGACTCCAAAGTAAAACTCTTTTTTTTTTTTTTTTTTTTACATTGCTATGCATCAAGTTATCCTCATGATGTGATAGGTCATCTTTGTAAAAAATGCATAGTCAGTCAGTAAAACTGTGCCTGCTTAAAATTATTTGTAAGAGAAAAGTTTTTAATCTACCTGTCATCAGCTACAAAGAAGCTGGAGTTCACTAGGGCTGAAGCTCAGACAGGGTGCTGCTACTTCTGTCGCCCCCAGAGCCTCCTGTCCTCTGATCTTCAGGTTGACAAACTTAATCTTCCAGCTGTTTTCAGCCAGCGGTGAGCAAATTAGGCCAAATATTTGCTCAAAGATGCCAAGACAGACTGTGTCTTTGTGGATGGTTCCAGCTACAGCAACCAGTACCAAGCCATGGGGGGAGGCCAAGGCCCTAAGTCCATGAGGCTCCAGGTTGGGACTGAAGAGGAGACGCTCTCCACTGGTCAGGGCCAAGAGACGAAGACTGACCAGTTCAGCACCCAAGTACTCATCCATCTGCTCAATGGCAGTTCTGAGAAAGACATGTTACAGAGTTAGAAAACTTAATGTAAAATTATATATATATATATATATATTTTTGTTTGTTTTAAGATTTGCTCTCATGATTTTTGCTCACCTGGACACGAGGCTAAGTTTTGCATCTGGCCAGAAATGCTGTGGTCCCCATTCCTGAGGCTGTTGGCCTAGTGAAGGATTCTGACTGTTTAGCAGCTGAAAGAACCACTGGCAGAACTGCTTGGCCAGGACCAGTGGATCAAAGCCCACCTCACCTTGCGTGTCTGCCAACACAGATGTTGCAGGCTGTTTGGCCTCATCCACCTTAAAGGAATTTAAAAAAATGTCACACAACACCACACTGTGATTTGAGTATATTTGTTATATTCAAGCAATGCATGAGTCTCCTTACTATTACACAACTGTTTGTTTTTCCTCCCAAACAAGGGTAAGCAGTTTTAGAGAATGCAAGGATAGAGCAATTTTTCAAGTTCCAAAATTACACACTGTATTACTATACCATTATATTTCATATGCAAAGGCAGAGTGAATGGTATTTTATAATGTATCTTCTCTAAATTATTTAAAATATCTCATGATTAGCTTGAGAGCAACAGATTGTTACAAATGTAGAAAAACACATGAACAAACTAAAGTAAAAGTATTTGTATTAAACTAGCAGCACTAGTAAAATCTGAACAGATAAAATAATTCACTGAATAGTTTAAAGCAATTTCAAACGGTACAATACTATGATTTTTCTTGCTTTATGGTCATCTAAACTAAAGTCTATACTACTGTACACAAATCTGAAGCCTCTTTTCAACAGCTTCTGTACTTTTTTTTTTAATGTAGTTGAATCCTTCTGATAACCAGTTCACATGTAATGTACAATAACAGCAATAGCATGTTATAATTAAATAAACTGAATTGATTACAGATATACAGTTTACATTTTAGTTCAAACAGTCTTCATTTTTTTAGTTTGTCCTGTGTGCAGTTAAATTAATACACGGTTTATAAGTAAATTCAGCTCAGGTCAAACATTCTAAAGGTACTTGTGTTCTGCGTTGTTGAAACTACGGCAACAAGTTAGGGACATTTCACTTCCTGGTCCTACCTTCATGGATGACCACAGCTCCAGCGTCCTTTTAACAAGCTGGTGTTTTTCACTGTTCGGAGACATCGTCACCCCTTCTTTAGCCAGATACTTGAATATGAGGTCACGATACACCTTCTTCCTTTTAAGGAGCTCTTCGGCATTTTTAGAAAAGGAAAGAATAGTTTCCATAGCTTCTGTTGACAGAAAAACAAAACACAAGAACATGAATGTCTCAAAAATTATATCTTTAACAACATGCATTTTGTTTTTCGGTGACTCTTGTATCTTTAAATGCCTTCATCTTGACAATCTAACTATATTGTTTTTAGTAAATGCAATAAAACAGCAGTTTAGAACTATGAGCATCTGATGTTTTGAAAAAAAAAACAAAAACAAAACATCCTGTATACGGGCTTTCTCGTGCATATCTTACCTGTAACATTTTCAACTACTATCATCTTATTTGTGACCGTGTCACAGAGTGACATTAAGTCGCCTGCTGTCATTGAGCTTAATATATTTTTCAGTCCAGCGCACTCTTTTTCCGATAGTCCTTGCATCTTTGCGAAACACTTTTATTTAATGCTTTTCGTCCATATGTGTCCAGCTAAAAATCCTTCCGTGTGAAAACACATATCGGAGTATGAGCGGTCCGCCTTCATTGTTTCCGTTTTGAAGATGGTTCATTTAATTACTTATTTTGCGTTGTGTCTAAGTCGTGTATATTTAATTAAAATAGTATGCTACTAGCTGTATGGAGACATTATAAGTGATCGGCTTCTTTGATTGTTCTTGGTGATAGTTTTGTGCGCTCACCAAGCGCCGAGTACGCGAACGCAGCATTCAAGAGCTTGAGCTCCCTTTGTGGTAGTCGGAATTTTAAACTCTCGAAATGTATCACTCGTCTATTTAAACTTCTCCCTTCTTTTTAATATCACGCAGTTGTCGATTACAGTATATTGTAAATTGTAATTACATTAAAAGTAATACGATATGTTAGCGTAAAATACGGATCTGAACAATTTTGTTAGGGACAATTCAGTGTTCTCCCACTGAAGTTTGTCATTTTCTAAAATTTTCATTTTCACTTCTCAGACAAATTAACAAGTGTAGCCGTCTCTTGACGCGGACTATTTGTTATGCCTTCGGGACACAATATTGAATTCGTAAAGACAATTAGGATGCTGATACTGCCCGTGGTTCTATTTCAAAAGGACCTTAATGTGTAGTTTACGCGAAACACTTGAACGCATCACTGTAAGAGCTAGCTAGCAAAACTGAAGAAGAGATGCGCTGTCCCAGCAGCTGATCATTAACTTGCGTTTTATTTTCTCAATTTGCGTTATACCCGATTCATTAGTATGATTTAGTCCCGGGTGTTAAAAGGATAAGTTCTGCTATATTAGTTTTGTACTTCGCTGTCAAGCATATGGTTCAAATCCCCGAAAGGTAAAGTATTATTTTTGCTAATTAATCCTAGTTTGTCATCATTCTAAAATTTGGCTCGGCGAGTAAACAACGAAGTCTTTTAAAGTTACAACAACCTCCGCTCAGAAAATTACCTAGTTCTTTACTGTTAAAATAGTTTTTTTTTTTTTTTCCCTTTGTATAATTCAGCAAGTAGCATATGTCCTACTACAGTTATTTTCTAAAAGTCTAGTCTTTACTTAAAAAAAAAAAAAAGATGAATACATTGCAAAAATGAATTTGTTAGGTATGCTTGATAAACCTTGGGCACGTGTCAAATCAACATGAGTGATATTATGAGGGATCATCATGGCTGAGGATCTGTTCATTTCCTAATTTTTATTTTTATTTTTTAAATACAATTTTTACATAATAATGTGTTCCTCTGACTGGCTTTCATCACAATGAAATGTTTAGAAATAAACAAACAAGAAGCTAACCTCACCAATGTGCTTTATTGTCCCAAAAATCAATACTTTTGCAATAAATGAAAACTATAAAAGGGAGAACATAAATTCATTAATGTGCACATAAACAAAAAAGAAGCTATACATCACACAGCAAGACTTATTTACAGATGAACATTAAAAATATAGATAATGCTCTCTCAAAAACTAGCTTTCAAACTATAGGAGTTGAATAGAGTGTAATTAGTGAAAGGCACAATTAGAACAGCTGTTTCTTTAAACTGGATTTTGTCCTCTTTTTTTTTTTTGGGTTGCAGATGGATGAGTCTGAGCGCAGCGCTCCAGGCCAGGTAACAATCTACTCTATCCAGGGGTGCCCACACTGTGTGCAGGCCAAGGCCACCCTCAGAAGTTTGAGCGTACCGCTACGTGTTGTGAATGTTGACAGTCAATCAGAGTTAAAGATGAAGTTGAAGGAGCTGACCGGACGCAGCACTGTACCTCAAATCTTTTTTAACAGCGTTCATGTTGGGGGTAACGATGACCTCTTAAAACTGGTAAGACAAAAGATGTTAATATAGTTCTTATGAGCTCAAGATGCATGAATTAGAAGTTTGTAAAAAAAAAAAAAAAACAGACCAAAGTCCAAGTTGAGTCACTTGTTGATGTTCTTCACAATCTTAGTCTCCTGAGGAGCTTCAGAGGTTGGTGACTCTCGTCAAGGAGGAACCTTTTTCGATGGATGCTTTACCGTTGCCAGACAAAAATCCATCGGTGGATACGAGCAGAGCAATCGATAGAGGTGAGCACTTTTTAAGTTTAGAGTTTTATCTTCTATAGAGCCGTATGGTGCATTCCCAATATATTGTTTAATTATTTATGTTATCTTCAAAGATGAATAAATGTTTTAGTTGTTAATTTACTGGGGCTACTATGAGTAAAAAAACAAACTATTATATCCAAAGGAAAGCCTGTTGGTGTTGCCAAAGTTGGTTTTGCAAAGTCATCTTTGTTTGATGATGAGTCAAAAAAATAAAATGTGGGGACAGTTACGAAACTGTGCTGCTGATGTGGACGCATCCACATATTTGTGTAACACCAGGTGCTGCTCTAGTAGCAAAGGCCAACACAAACAGATGATGCAGGAAATGTGATGCCTTAGATGAGCCCGGTATCCTCAGGCAGCTGCACAATAGCTCATGATTTGTAAGAGTTAGACATCCTGCAGTGTTTTTCATGTGGCACACTCCTCACGTATTTGTAAGTGTTTACATTTAGCGTAGGTTTTCAGATGTTCTCTGCAGCATCATGACCATGCGTTGGCAGCAAGTTGGCTTCACTCTGTTTTACTGATTGTTTCCTTCTCATCAGATTTATTTACATGAGCCTGCTTTAAATGTTTGACTAAAAAAGCCTTAATTTGTCTCAGATTAGGTGTTTTTTTTTCCTATCAGAAAGCTGTGATTATTCATCTGAAACTGGATTTCAAAGTTGCCCATATTCTGATTATATGTAGGTTTGAACAGCTATAGTTGTGTTTGTTTGTGCGTGGCTTTTACTATCCACAGAGTTTAAGTGGGAGATGAGTTGGCTGACCTGATGGAGCACCTCAAGCATGGCGGTGTGATGTCATAGGAGGGGACTGACTTTATACAAAGAGAGCTTCTCAGGCAGCCAGCTGGTTGGCTGACTGCAAAAAAAGAAGGGCATGGGTAAAAGGCAGTGGAGCTTTCTGATGTGAAATGTGAAAACTCACTGGACTGTTTCATAAAGTCAAATTCAGCTCTGTGTCAGCTCTTGACTGTGGCCTTGTGTGTATGCTAGACAGAGCCGAGGCCTGGAGAACAGGACAGGTTCTGTTGCAGGGGAAGTGCATGGTGCATGGCTGTGGAAGGAAAGTTGGGTGTTTTGGTGAATGGAAAGACACGTGGCCACCTTGTACAGGCTGCTGGAGGACAACTTTCATTCTTGCAGTCCAACACAGGGCAGGTCAGGAGATGATCAGGGGTGGGGCTTATACAGATCACTTTCTAGATTCTAGAAACACTCTCTAACACTCATTCTTTCTTGACTGGTTCTTTTGAGTTCACTTTTTTTTATGTTATAAATGTTTGATATATTAAGCTAAAGTAGCAGTTAATGGCTATGCTTGATGCTAAAAAACATACCTCTTCATCTATAACACCAGCCTTCTGCAGGATATTCCTGATGTAGAATGGTATGTGGTAATTTTGGGTTTTAGAAATTAATGTATTAGAAAATGACAGTTTGTCTCTTATTGTTCAAATTTTACCTTTTTACAGAGCCATGAAGCTAAATTCATGGTATTTGTGGATAAGCATAATTTGAGTGGACCTGTTTTATTATTATAATCATAGTTAATAACTTACATGATCAGATTTTCAGAAGAAGAAAAAAACGTTTTTTTTTTAAATATTAGTCTTAAAACTCGTGTTTTGCTTCGCTGCAGGTTTGGTTTTATTTCCTAAAGAGAAATAAATCAATTCTAATGTCCCGCTTTTAATTTTGTAAATTTTTTTGTTATTATTGGCCGGAACTGTGTGGCTGTTTTTATATCCGAGTGTTGCACATTTGAAACTACCTCCTTACAACATTATTATAATCACTGTGTCTTTGTTGGTTTAGTTCTAGCCTTGCATTGTTCAGCAAATCCAAATGTTTAAGTATAATATAATAATTGTTGTATGCTCTGGCCTCTTACACATTTGTTTTGTTTGTCTCGTTAGGTTCAGCTAATTAACATTTACATTCGTTTTGTCTCTTTCTCTCATGGTTCTTCGGTTTTCAGCTACCGAGCCGTCTTTACTTTTACGAGAAATGATTCTGAAGTTGTTTTCAGAGCATCTCTCTGCTGATGGCAAGGTAAAGTTCTAAGTTCTATCAAGCGTCTGACTGTTTAAAAAACTTTTTGTTGTACTTGTAGTGACATCATCAGTGTATGCACAGATAAAAAGTGTGTTCTTTCTCCTACAGTCTGTAGACTACACAGGGATGTCTGTGAACCCTGCATTTGAGCATTACTGTGAGCTAGCCATTCAGCTGCAAAGAGTAGAGCTGCTGTCACTGAGCCGGGAGGAGAAGCTGGCCTTCTTCATCAACATCTACAACGCCTTAGTCATTCATGGATACCTACGGCTGGGGGCCCCCACCAACATGTGGCAGAGATACAGAGTAGGTTTACACAGTTGCTCCAAACAAAAGCTCCTCACCTTAAAGACCAAATTATATTAAACAAAAACCACTTCAACAGCTTCAATGGTGAACTTAATTAGTCAGACTATATTTTTACCTGGATTAAATTAACACTAACATAAATATATATATATATATATATATATTTTCATTTAGCCTTTATTTATCCAGGTTAGTCTCATTGAGCCACGAGAACTCATTTTCAAGATTTTAATGTATTTTCAAATTAATGCAAAATAACCTGAATATAAACCTTGACTTTCTTATTTTTTTGCAGTTCTTCAATTATGTGAGCTACTTTATTGGAGGAGAGGTTTTCACATTACAAGATATTGAAAACGGTGTCCTCAGAGGGAACAGAAAGGGTGTCGCACAGCTGCGAAGACCCTTCTCCAATACAGACCCACGGCTTCAGGTTTTTACACAAACTTTTCAGTCACGGCTGAACATTCTTTCATTCTTTGGACCAAACCAGTGTCCAAACCAGTAAAATAACAGTGTAGACTTGGGCCCTGATTATCACTGGTGTAAGGATAAAAACATTCCTAATAAACCAACTTTTATTCTTTATTTAAACTTTATTTCTGTAGATCAAATTAAAACCGCTCACTTTATGATCTAGTCCCAACAGCTGCTGTAGGATCCACTTTTTAAAAGCAACTAAATGTCACTTTTGTTGTCCACAAGGTGGCGCTTCCAGATGCTGAGCCTCTCGTTCACTTCGCCTTGAACTGTGGCGCAAAGGGCTGCCCACCTATCAAAGCATACGCTCCAGAGGTGATCTTGATTCTTGTGATTACCGATGATTAAACGGGCAGTGATGGAAAATATTATACAATGTGTGGTCAAATTTGTAGTTTGTTTAATCTAATCACTAATCTACTGAAACCCTCTCAGGATATTGACAACCAGCTCCGCAGAGCAGCTGAAGCCTTCCTGGAGAAGGACGACGGCTGTGTGGTTGATTCTGGGACAGGAGAAGTACGGCTCAGTCAGATATTCAAATGGTACAAGGCTGACTTTGGAGGCACTGATGAGAAGGTAGTTTACATTATTTATAAAAAATTTAAAAAAAACACACAATCAGCATCTTTCACGTACAGCTTTTTGTTATTTACGGCTGTGGATAACTCATAACTTTTCTCATAGATGCTGAAGTGGGTGCTGGATCACATGGAAGACTCTCCAAAGAAGAGCAGCTTGCAGGGCGTCCTCTCTGCTGGGAAGACTAAAGTCAGCTTCCTCCCTTATGACTGGAGCTCCAACAGCTACCACAGAGCATAATTACCTTGTCTGAGCTGTTATTTATTACATACATTCTACTCTATTTGCTTGAATCCAGAGGGTCAGCACTGAAGTTGATGCCAAAGGAGATCCAAATGTAGCTGTGACAGCAGGTTTGCACTGTACCTCTACGACATGATCCAGTTGTTGGCTTACTGTAGCATTAAGATCTAGTTATACCTTCTAAGCCTCACATCTGTGTAGTGAATCAGACCAATTTTGCACACTTAACACTTTGTGCTCCAGCAAAGTCAGCCACATTAAGCATTTTTTAAATGTATGTAGCTGGAATCCCTTTGGGCTCTGTGCTCGCTTGTTTTCCTGCAACTCAGGAGTGAAAATTGAACTCCGAGGTATTCGCGGGGCACATTTATTCCAAGGAGATGTTGCCTTGACAAGCCATATCAAAATGTTTCAAACTCATAAAAGCACTATTTGAAGTGGTGCAACTAGGCCTGTCGCGATAAACAATAAATCAGTTAATCGCATGATAAATAAAAATTATCAACTTCATTTACATTTATCGGCGTTATCGTTTCTTCATGTCCCTCTTTCTACTGAAGACACTGGATGACAAAAAGGTTAAACTCCGGTGCTCTTCACTGACCCTTCCCTTTCACTTTTTTCTGTTTCCTTTAAAATCCATTTTAACCATCCAAAATCATGTTTTTGGATGGTTAAAAGCAGCTCAACTGAGAAGCTAAGCTACAAGCTAAGCTAAAAGGCCGACCTCAGGGAAAAAATAAATATGTCTTGTCGAAGCTCCCAAATTCATGGTTCAAACCCGTGCCTTCGTCTAAAAAGTTGTTTTTCTCTGCAAAAAGAAGCTAAGAACTCATTTACTGATTGTTTAAGAAAAGTTTTGTGTGACAAATGCTATGCTAAAGAGCTCAAACCATACAGAGCATCCACCATTTTGAGAACCGGGAAAAAAAAAAAAAAAGACAGCCCACGTCACATCAAGGGACCTCCCTCCCATTTTCTTACAGACATGCTGCTTGCTCCCTCACTATCCATCCTTCGTTTCAGTCTTATACTGCCATCCAGTGGTCAAAAAAGGTACTACACTCAAAACAAATTAAACACATTTTCTTATTAAATTTGAGATTAATTGCTAATTATTGTCAAATTTCAAACAATATTATCATTTCACAATAATTTTTCAGACAATCGCTCAGCAAAATTTGTTATTGTGACAGGCCTAGGTGCAACTTGGGTTTTTAGGTTTACAAATGACAAAAATATTAATTTAGGCTTTTAGCATAGAAAGAAAGAAAAAATGCTTCTGTGGTTTTTACTCTTACTGATAACTTGTAAGTTCTGCTGAACTTACAAAACATGAGTGTTGCTGCATCAATTATTCAAAGTTTTCTACCTGTCTTCAGACGCAATCCTCCCCCTCCTGTATGCCTTTATCCTTACACCTTCTTTTTAATCCAGGTCTTCCTTTAGATATCTTTTTTAAAGAGCTACTGCAAAGTATTTTGCAAAATAAGAATATTAACTATGTGATTTTAGGAATGCACTTTGACACTTTGCATGTTTATAGCTTTTAATGCTACCGAGACATATTTGTAGTCTTTTTCCACAGACGGTTGTTCACTTTTGGTCTATGTGAATTTTGAGCTGCATTTATTCAGGCATGTCTGTCAGCAATATTGCTGAAATGAATACTTTATTAATCTAACTTTGTAAAGAAATATTGGTTTGATACACACACGTTTTATCTGATTTCTGGAAATGTAGGATAATCACTCATTGGAATATTACTCAACCATAATTAGTATTTGATACTTACCTGAATTATTTTTGATAATTATTTGCAACTTCAGTTCTGATTTTTTTTAGTTTGATGTCCATTATATGTCATTTGTTAATTATTGTTAACAGTAGTCCCTCGATTATTGTGGGTTACGTTCGAGACATCCCCGCGATAGGTGAAAATTCACAACGTAGAGACATTATATTTATTTTAGTATTTATATATATTTTAAGGCTTTATAAACCCTTCCCACACTCGTGCAATGCTCTTAACAATGTTCTAAACTCTATATGCTGTAAAAGAGCACAGCGAAAGAGCAAAAAAAGGTAAAAAAAATAAAAAAAGTGGCTGAGTGCAGCTCACTCAGATACAAAACAGACCCCCCCCCCCCCCCCTTCTTTTTCCGAGGCTGTCTGTTGTGCGACTGCCTGTTGTGTGTATCAGGGACACAATGGTGAAAGATAACCCCCCCACCCCCTCCTGTCTCTTTGCTGTGACAGACAGACAGCCTTGGAAAGAGAAAGGAGGGGGCAGGGGATCTGTCTTACATGTGAGTGAGCTGCACTCAGCCACTCTCTTTTTTTCAAACTGATTCACTTTTATTTTTCCACCTAAGCATTTTCTCTGATATTCTACATTTGTTCTCCAATATTCTACATTTGTTCATCTGATCTGTTCATCCCTTCTCCATGAGCAGTAGCAGTGGGGAAAGACAGACCCTACCCCGGCCCCTCCTTTCTCTTTCTGAGGCTGTCACAACAGAGAAAGAGAAAGGAGGGTGGGTCTGTCTTACCCCATCGCTTCTGTTGTGATAGCCTCAGAAAAAGAAAGGAGGGAACAGGGGTGGGGTATGTCTTTCCCCATCGAAAATAGTGTGTTGTGTACAATCTTAAATTGAAAATCCGCAAAAGAATGAGTCTGCGAAAGTCGAACCGCGATGTATCGAGGGACTACTGTATTTATTTTCTCAGATCCTAGTGAAACTGTAGTTGAAACAGTATCTGGGTTATTTAATATCAAACTAATGGACACTGCATGATTTTTTTTTTATGTCCTAGCAGTTTTTGCTCATTCTGTCCATTTTTACAGATGTGCTTGAATACATAAAATTATCTCATAAAATTAGTAGCGGCACCAAAGCAAATATTTGAATTAGCATGAGTCTGAGCTGGAATGCCTTTAACTGCATGGGATACTGGACAAGCTTGAATGCAGGCCCGTGTTCCAGGATTGCACAACTTGTCTTTACGATACTTTATATTTAAATATAAACCTTTAGTACACTTGTTATCAAAGGAAGAGGCTGATCACAGTGGGAAAGAGGGTCAATTGGATGGCACAAAGGGGATTACCACCTTTCACTAATGTTCTTTGTACTTCTTTAAAATTACCTCATGTATCAGGAAGTTTATGCAAAAAAAAAAAAAAAATAGCATTGTTATCTTTCTAAGGGGAATAATCAAGCAATATGTTCAACAGTAAATATGCAATGTTGAATTAAATAAACTTTTTTTTTTCCTGTTACAATTTGATTGCATGCAGTCGGTTTCAAATAAGCTGATATTTTTGTGCATGTGCATTAAGAAAACTTGCAATAAAGAGTATTTTTCTCCCACTATAGACATTTAATCAATTATTATTCTCTTGCTTATCTACTTTGTCATGTGGCATATTTGAGGATTTCTTTTGGCTTGTTCAATGGGTCTCTAACCCTTAGGATAAGACTGGGTTAAATGTGGTGTGTTCAAAAACGTTGGTACAAAGAAGACTGAAGCAGTATGATTAGAAAAATAACTTAACAGACATTAAAAAAATAAATTACAGTTAAAAATGTGCATTAGAAATTACAGTATTAACGTAATTTCCTTAAAAAGGCATATTTTTATTTACCGTTCTTTTCTACTCACGTTCTAGCCACATTCTTCAAAATAATACTTGCCAAGATGCCATATTATGAAATATCAGAAAAGCAGCTATGTAGGACAAATTCATCTCTGGTCACTTTTCAAGCACTGTAAGGATGTTTTAAATAAAATATATAGTTTACCTGTCCCACTTTACAAAACCCAACAAGTTGATGTAAAAACTCATCCATGAAGAGTTTCAGTTTCATTTGTTAATTCAAACAAGTTTATTCACTTCATCCTTAAGAAAAAAAAAATATATAACCCATTATTACATTTACAAACCTATTAACATTTGTACATAAATAAGCAGGTTTAGGTTCAGTCCTATAAAAACAAAATGTTATTCAAGAGAAAAAAAATCATCTGAAAAGTTTGTACAACAAAACCAAAGTGAAATATTCCGTAATGAAACAAACATCGTAGAAGTATTAGCTGTTTTTAGAATGAGCTATGAGTTTAAAAGCAAACTGTATTTTAAGTTCATCTCTACTTTTCAAACACTGATTTTGTTTTGGCACTAATTAAAACATGCATACGTTAAAAGATATACAGAAAGTTCATGTGATTGTGTGGAATTACATGTTAGACACATTTTGGTGAATGTGTGGATTGTTTTTCCATAAACAGAAGAGAACCCTGTAGAAACTGCAGTTTACACAAACAACGCTGAAGCGCCTTGTTCACTTTGAAAGCTCAACGTTTCTGGTTGAAATTTGTCAGATTTACTTAATGATTTAGAAATAAGGAAACAGACGTGATCATTTTCAGTTAGCCTCTTAAGTTTGGCAGACACAAACATGCTTTTCAAACTCCAGCTTTAGATTTTGTAGTGATAATTCACTATTTTTACATTTCCGTGCTGAGTGATCAGATGAGTTACTTAATTGCAACAAGTTAACAAGTAAAAAAAAAAAAAAGTTTTAACTGTATGTTTGCTCTGGTATGAAATTGTCGGCCAACTTCATTTCAGTCAAGTCATATGTGAAAATGTAAGAGTACAGCATTGTTACTATCAGACAAGCTACTATAGAGGGGCAGATGTTCCAAATCAGCCTTCTTAGCAATGGTTCCCTTCAATGAAGCGTGCAGCCCTCATCACTTTAAATGTTAATACTGAAGCACAATGAACTATTCTCCAGATCATCAAAAACTTCTAGATGTGAGGTTCATTTACCCAGAAAGCAGCTCCAGTAAGAATATCCAGGAAGTGCAAGGACCGTCTCAAACTGAGGTGTGTGCTACACACATTCTGGAGGCTCTCTGACACGTCAGTTCTGTCCAAGCAAACTTTCAAGAACATTTTCCTCATGATTCCTCCATTTTGAAGGTGGAAAATTATTTGAACAAGAAAAGGAGAACTACCATGAGCCCTGTGCCATGCACTGAAGCATTTTGCTGCAACATGTAGGGTTGGTTTTCATCCAAAAGTGCGGGCTTCTAATTCTGCCCAAGAACACGACCAGGTAAGTGTTATCAAACTTCTCCAACAATCCAGACATAATTTGGTGCCGATATCTGCCTTTTCCTGCAAGATCACACTTTATTCCCTGTTGGGCTGTATTATTACGAGACAAGAGGGAGTCTCAAAGACGGTGGCAATGAAATGTAAAATAAATATCCTGATCGAGATCCTAACTCTCAGTCAGGTTCTTAAAAACAGGGTGGATAAACAGAAGCCAGTAAACATCAAAACCAAGTCACCATCAGTTAAGAACTGCCTGGAAGTTGAAGCATGCCAGAGAATTGCAAAAATTCTGAAGGATCAACACAAAATGAATTTTTCACAAATTAAAAAAAAAAAAAAAAAAACTTTTGCAACTCATGATTTTTTTATTATCATTATTACTATTATACCATGGAATCATGTTACAGCCATTAAACATATATTCTCACTGCCAGAAGTTTGGGCAAATATAATTTCTGAAAAGCCAATGCTCAGAAAAGTTTTTTTTTTTTTTTGGAAGACTATACTTTCTTTAAGTAGAGGCCAACACACGTCTGCCAGTGATGGGTTTAATTTCAAGTACTGACATTATGTTAATTCATTATGGACGATGTCAGCGACCCTCTGCACACAGTCATCAGCAACCAGAGGAGACTGCTCCTCCCTAAATGCACCCTTAAGACTGATAAAACTCCTTTGTCCCTCGTGCCATCCGACTGTACATCTTCTCACTGGGGGGGGGTTAACAGGAAGATAGAGGATGGGAAGGAGCAACAGTCACCTCCACCTTAAAACTGCCAGTAACTGTTTTAGTATTATTTACTGTTAAATCTGTATACGTGTACATTATTTTACTTTACATTATTTATACTTAGTCACTTTTCGGCTGTGCGCTGCTGCTGTCCCTTTTTTTTTCTATCACCTGTACAGTGCTGCTGGAATTTTAATTTCCCTGAAGGACTCTTTCCAAGGAATCAATAAAAGGTCTATCTAATCTCATTTAAACTCAGTTGACGAGGAACAATTGTGGAGAAACAGTTTTTTGTTTTTACTTAAAATGATCAAATCATAAAATATAAACTAAATAAGATCAATACCAAAAGGTCTGACATTTTCTTTTCAAATTCTATCAAATTATATTTTAGCATTGCTTTTTGTAATTGACAGAATAAGTGCCGTGGATTCTGGTAGAAGCTCCTGTTCACAAACAAAATAATAAAGTGGCTTTTCATGGAAAAGGGTGCTTTATAATACCTCCATCTAAGTGTCATCGTCAGAATCAAAACCAAAGAGGGACGAGCACGTGTTGAGCGCTTGGTGTTTCTGGAATTCTTCCAAGGAGCTGAAGAAGACGAGACATTTGTCACAACGCCGTCTGACGATTGGTTCTGGGACAACAATCTTCTGCTGCCCTTTTTTCACCTCTTCATTCTTTTTCTTATACCGGTTGTAAGTGTGTTTTGGGGCCAAGGGCTCATCAGTGAACCTCCTCTTGCGCATCGAGAGCACAGATTCATCAAGGTACAGGGAAGGTGGAGGGCGGACGAAGTGCTTTTTCACAAACTGTGCGTAGGCGGGATCTTCAGGCTTGAAACTTTTGTGTTCGGTGATGTGCGGCTCTGCTATGATCTGGACTCCCTGAGCCAAGGTGGTAATTTCTTCAGGATTTTTGACATTTAGGACGTCCCAGTTCCGAGGTTTTTTCCCACCTTTCGTCTTGGAAGAGGTTTGAACAGCAGCGTGCGCCATGAACAGGAGGTCCTCCTCCACTGTTCTCGTTGCCTCATTTCCATTTATGGTTGGCTTAATATCCACGTGCTCATCACTGACCTTTTCTGCTGAACCATCATCGTGCATAAACAAATACTGACTTTTGTCTGGGATACTTATTGCACTACCCTCAGCTTCCATTTTAATCTGAACTTCAGAGATGTTTGTTTCACAACTTTCATATCCAGTTTTAATCAACTCTGTGTGAAAAACTGGATTTTTTTTATTCTGAAGCCAAATCTCCTCCACCTTTACTCTCTGCTTCCAAGGAGCTTCTTCACTTTCCTTTTTCTGATTACTGGCTCCCGACTCCAGCTCATCTTTCTGCGGCACTGGAATGTAGTGCCTCCATTCGTGGTCATAAAGACATTGTACGTTTGCGAAAAGCTTCTCACAGTTTGGATATTGACAGCAAAGCCTTAAGGGCTGGTGGGTAGCGATGTGGTTCCTAAAATCCTGCTGCACTAAAAAGCGCTGTTCACACTCTAGCTGGTAGCAGAAGAGAGGAAGAGCAAAGTTGTGGAGCTTCATGTGGTCCTTGTACTGCTGAAGAATGTGTATCTCCCTGTGAGAGGAGAGCAAACATGTTAGGATAAACTGTGCCTTTTAAGAAGTATACTATTTTACAGATACCAATTTACAGCTCTACAAGTTTTAAACCAGCGCTTCATCTGAGCCGGATCCTGCCAGAACGGAATCAGGTAATGCTCTTATTTTGGCAGGGTGTGTTCCGGCAACGGTTTGCTCAGATCCGGTAACTCACATCTCTGCCCCTAAAAGTCCAAAGTTATCGTGCATTTTTATTAAAAAAACTCAATATAATTAAACAGCATGACAAAATTGAAAATCAGTTTTATAGTTTAAATGGGTCATTAATAAAATTTTGATTATTAAAAATACGAGAAATGTTTGATGTGTATTATTCACATTACATCACTTATCAAAACAACAGCGCTAATTTGCAAAAAATAACAGCAATCAAAATGTCGAGAAGACATTAATGGATGGATTGTCCTTACTTGGACAACCAAAAATTGAAGCACCCGAAGGCAGTGGCAATCGAGATTGGAGCAGGAGCAACAACGTGCAGAACTGAATTCAGCGGAAGACGGTCCAGTTCGGAACCATTCAGATTGATCTAAAAAAGTTAAATCTGGTCCTCTGGACATTCAAAAAAACAAAACAAAGCAAATCAAAAAAAAAAAAAAAAAAAAAGTAGAAACGTTTCGTCTCTCATCCGAGAGACTTCCTCAGTCTGAGGAGCTGTATTCAGCTCAGTCTCTTAAATATTCAGATTGAATTTGTGGAATGTGCCAGAGAACTGGAGCAGCTGTGATCAGGACTGTGTACTCTCAGCACACATGAAAAAGGGAAATAATCTTGGAGAAGCTGTGAGCTCGACTTTTGGCGTAAAGGATTAATTCGGCAGTTTTGAAGTTTCCATCAGAGGAATATACCAGCGAGACTTTTAAGGCAGAAAACAGCAATTCACGAGTTCCGCCTGACCCAAACTGTGGCCATGATGGCGGACTCATCTCAACTCCTCCTGGCATGTCATGAAAACAACAAAGATGCTTTGTCTGTCTCCTCACCCCTCCCTTCACCAAGGCCGTGGACATGTGACAGAACCTCAACCGAGCTGATGATGAACGTCACCTCTTATCTGGACAATGGCTGAGAGGGGGGGCTCTGGACTATGCTACGACTTTCCCTTAAAAATTCAATGTCTTCACCGGCTATATGTTCATGTAGAACGTGTTTATGTTGCTTTGCCGTGGGAGGTTTTTTTGATGCCTCAAATCGTGCCCTGTCTAGTGTAGTGAACCTAACCTGATGTCAAAACTAAGCCTAAGGTCAAAACCCTTGACCTTAAGAAGCTTGTGGGACAGAAACTGTCATTTCATTGATCTGCATCCAGAAATACAGTTTGACCCATCCTGAGACTTTCTTTCTTGAATTAATCAAGTAGAAATGACAATTCTCTATGATCATTACTATTTTACAAATGTTTTGATAATCAAATTGTGTTAGTTCAAACAATATTTACAGGTTGAAGAGAACTACTCATTTTTATCTACTTAAACAGCAGTAATGATTTTTATTCCTCATTCAAAGAAGAAATCAGGGTAATATGCATTTCTTGATTTTTCTGTCTTCAATGAGCAAATTTGTAAGTGTGTTAAAGTTCAGGTTTCGGTCAACTAAGAAGTTTACTGAAAAGAAATGTCATGTTTAACTTTTACAGCAAGATACTGAGTAGAGACTCCACGAAGTCTGGTTTTCTCCAATAATCTTTCTGTCTGTTTTAAACAATCTTAATCTCTATCCTTGACTTTCCATAACACCTTACATCACAAACCACACCTCTGTTCTGGTCCATCCACGAATCAGAAAGCTCTCAAATGAACCGGAAGTATAGCCCGTTTAAATGTGGCGACTTCCCAGTTCAACATTTGGAAGTTTTTCAGAGCTTGAAAGAGTTTCCTGGAGAAGAGTTAAAGAGTTTAACTCTCTGAAGAGAGTTAAAGAGTTTGGGAGTTCTTGGATGCAAACGCAGGCATTCAGGAGGCTTCTATTAGAATCAAGCTGAACCAAGAGACGATTGTGGGAATTATAACTTCTGTTTGGATAACTTCACACGACTCCTAAGGTTCTTAGCTGTCCTCCCGGAGACGCTGAAAGAGTCAAAAGGAGAACTCTACACCGACGCTGATTCTATCATCTGCAAGGTAAAAGTTCTATTTCGACCAAGCGTACCGTTGGCCAAGCTGATTTTCCAAAGAGCGTGTTGTTCTGGTACTACAGATAAATTCCCTCACACATCTCTCTGTAAGATAAATCTCCATTTTCCATCTTTAAACTCTCCTTTCTGCTAGAAAATTAATCCAGATGTTTTCATTAATGTCTGTGGTGAAGCAACGGAAAATCATGGCCGTATGGTTTTCCTGTTTGTAAAACTGATTAATTGATGTCTGCCGTTTTAGCTGAAAAGTGAAAACAATCGCCGTATTGTTCTCACTTCCTGTAAAACTATGCTGTTGTTATTTTCATATTTTGCCAAATTAATGTAAATGTTTGATGTTAAACTTTGATTCTGTAAATAAATGACCGCATTCATTTTGATGGGTCAAAGATAAATAACGTCTCTCGTTACATTTCTGTTAAATTCAATGCATGATGTTTACACAGTCCAGAAAAATGAAGAACCCGTTTAATGTATGAATATATCTCAGCATCTGTTCATACTACACTAGGACACGGCGTGAGATCTTTTTTTATACCGTCTCTCCTCGTGTTTTCTTCCCTTTTCTCATCTAAGAAAAATATTATTCTGAATAAGAATAAGAAGGCCGCGCTTTTTATAGTAGCAGCTTTGTGCACTCCGCCCATCTTTCGGACGACTGTACGTACATGTTCTCGTTGTATCTCGGTGCAATGACAAAGTTTATTCTGATTCTGATGCTTGACACAAGCGGAGCGGCATTATTCACACACAAGGAGAGAGCTGTTTAACAGCCTGTTAAAATACACCAACATGTAGGAAATGGCATCTACTTTATTCAAAATTTTCTGGGGGAGGACCCACAGGACCCCCGTACCTCCCCCCACTCCCCGTCCGCTATTTGCATTCCGGCATCGATCGGTTAATTCAAGCCCTGGTTTAATCTCTAGAAAACATTTGAAATAATGAGCAGTTCATGCTGTTCTTACCTGACACAAAAGCTGCACTTGTGTTTGGCCCAAACGAAAACCTTCTCTAGCACATCGTCTTCATCGATATGGTTTTTGACGGCATGCTTCATCAGCGTGCTGCCGAGCTTTAAAAATACTTTGTCACAAGACACCGATGGACACAACTGATACGTTTTGTCCACACCAACACCATTTTCTCCTGCAGGCACCGTCAACCCATCTTCTTCTGTCTCCATCAACGATACATCTTTTATTATCACCAGATCTTTTGTAATGACGATCTGCTCATCCTTTACATCTATTTGGTCTTCCTTTGTAGTTGTGTCCACGTTTTTGCCTTTTTTGCCAAGCAAACCACACCTCTTTATGAGGGTTCGGACGTTCCTGATGATGCGTTCATTTCTGCTAAGACTCCTTTTTTTATTGCCTTTGGGTTTCTTTTCAGAGGTTTTTTGTTTTGAATCAGAGTTATGATTTTCAACCTGAGGACCGCACTCTTTTTCCACAATTCCATTTGCAGGTGGAGTTTCCTCTGCGGACTTCTCGCAGTGCTTCTGTTTGCGCATTTCATCAATGTGGTCCAAAATGTGCTTTTTGGCCAAATGAAACTGTTTGAAGTGTTTTCCACAGAGTATGCATCTTAATCTTGTCTTCTTTAGATGAGCGAGTGCGTGCCTCATGACATTCAAACCCTTATAGGTTTTATTGCATAACTTGCAGGAGTGCGTTAAATGTCCGTACTGTTGAGTGCGAAGTACTCTCTCTCTCCATGGTACGCAGGTTTTTCCCTGATAAAACAAAAGGCAAAGAACATACTTGAGGTGTAACAGAACTGTAGAAGAAAAGAACTGAGCACAACTTACAAGTGGAAAAATACAAATTCATAGAATGGATTAATATTAATTACCCCACACTCAGACGTTTTGGCCATTTATTCTAACTCTTATCTGACAAATTCAACTTGACCAGTTTTCTGTTGAACTGCAGAAAACCTATATAAACATTTTTCTTAATTTCTCAGAAAAATACGGTAGTCCCTCGCTACTTCGCGGTTCGACTTTCACGGACTTGCTTTTTTGCGGTTTTTCAAAGTACAATTGTAAGCAAGGAAAAAAAAAAACTGTACACGACACGATTGTCAACTTTAATATTACTCGTGTGATTGGGACAGTACTGGATACTGTACAGTATAAAGTTTACGAAAAAATAAAATACCTCGGACAGGCGCCGTCATTTTGTTGTTTTCACTCAATAAGCCTACACTATCCCCACTCATAACTACATTTCCCAGAAGCCAACAGTGCACCACTCAGAAGTCCTTTTGCCTTCTGTTGAAATACATAGAGGGAAAGTTTTGATCTGATCCCCCAAAAAAGTTTTGTGTTTATTCATAAAGTGATTTTGGCGCCCAGCGGATGCAGAGAGCCACACAGAACCCACCGGGAACCAGACCAGAACCGGCTCTCCAGACTCATTGGTCAATCTGAATGCTGCTTGCCGGCCAACAAGAATTTCTGAGAGGGGAGGCTCCACACGTCGGTCTGGTGTTCTCTCCGAAACTCACCGGGACTTCCCCCATCCAGATTTGGACTCAATCGGACCACCGTCTGGTTCTGTGCTGGACATCTGAAGGTCTGGATACCTCCAAAATGCGTTTCGGTGCTCAAGGGCTTCACAGAGGCAACCAGAACCGGATCTCCAGACTCACTGATCAATCTGAGAGCTGCTTGTCAGCCCACGAGGACTTCAAAGTGGGGTGGCGCCGACCGTAGGTCCGGCGTTCTCTCCGGAGCCCACCGGGACTACCCCGAGCCAGACAGCCGACCAGAACCAGCAGGGTAGGTCTACCAAAACGGAACCGAGTTGGACCAGGACCAAGCTGCTGTTGTTCTGCAGAGCTGATGAGTAAACTATAGTAACATGTGTTGTTAAAATTATGTAGGTTTAAGCGTTTAGAACATTGCAAGAGTGTGGGAAGGATTTCTAAAATTTTAAAATTATATACATAAATATACTAAAATAAATATAACATCCCTACTGCATGGATTTTCACTTATTGGGGGGGGGGGGGGGGAGGGGGGTCTGGAATGTAACCCCCACAATAAACGAGGAACTACTGTAATACTGTTCATAGTAAACTACCGACTAGTTAATCTATTTCCAGCACTTCACCAGGTTTCAAACCCTGTTGTTCTCAACAGAGCTTATATTTACCGTAAACATTCAATTTTCATCATGATCTCTCTGCTAATGCTCCTCATCTTGCTTTGAAAATATTTCTACATAAAAATAAACTATTTGAGATAAGCAAAGCTTCTTTCCACATTCCTTTAAGTTATGACCAGTGATGTTTAAACCGGTCACTGTTCCGAACCCGAGGCTTCAGGTAGAACAGCAGCTTTCTTGACCCGACTTTATGTTCTCAAACATTATCAAAATGTGCTGCAAGCTCTGCGTCTTAATGTTTTAAAAGCTTATCAGGCTGCAATTTTCAAATCGCAACAAATCTGATCAGTTCAAAATCAGACATACCACAACTAAAAGCAAATGACCAAATATCAGATGTTTGATTAGGTTATAAACTGTGTAATTATGTTAACTCAAAGATTTTGCCAACTTACCTGAGTTTTTGGTACTCTAGTTTCCTCTTCTGGCTTGGGCTTCTGTTCTGTAGCGCCGTTAATCTCATCCGATGCATTTGATTCTGGGGGCTGTGGTTTCTCGTCAGTGTTTTTGGATCGAAGGGAGTAACTGTGAAACACCTCTACTGGATTATCAATGATCTCTAAAAGTTGACCATCAAGCTCCAAGTTGGATTCAGCAGCGGGAACAGCTGATGTGCCCTGACTCGGGGGATCTTCACAAGATTTAGCTTCCAACTTTGTCTGTGATTTCTCTTGTGTGAGCTCACTCTGACCGCTGCCACAAACCAAGCTTGTGTCTTCTCCGTTTTCCTTTTCAGGGTCACTCAGATGCTCAAGTTCATTCTCTTTCTCTCCACTTTTGTTTTCAAGTTTAACATCCTTATAAAGCACATTCGGCTCAGTGTCTTCAGTGTCCGTTTTTGACTCCACTCCAGACGATTCCTCTGAAAGGTATATTTCATTATCAGGGAAGGAGAGCTCTAGTTTTGCAAAAGGTTTCCTTCCCCGCGTTTCGTCTCCAACGATTATTCTTTTCAATTTAACGATCTGCATTTGTTCCAGCCTTGGGAGGCCTTGCAACCATCTCGTTTTCCGACCGTTCTTTTTGAGAATTTGGCTCTTAACACATCTAGACAAGTATTCTCTTTTGTGGCTTAGCGGGAACTTAATAGAGGCAGAATTCTCTGTGTTAGTGTGATTTTGTCTCAGTGAGTACATAGGTTTACTCCCCACAGAGGCAGCTTTAGCTTTACATTTGAACTCTGGATCATTATCGAGGTCGAACTCATCATCAGACAAGGATTGTATTTTCTCTCTGAGCCTATTCCTCCATTTTCTGCTCTTTAGAGAATTGTTAGGTACAACACACTTTCTTCCAACTCCATCTACAGTTTGCTTTTGAGCGTTGTCCTGTTGAACGAATGCTGTTCTTCGAGTGCAGTGGCATGAAGTGGAACTTACAGTGCACGACTCCTCAGTACAGCTATTTAGTATGGGCTCTTCATTGTATGCCTTTTCCTCTTCTTCTTTTATCTCACTGAGTACAGTGTCCTTCACAATGTTGTCACTCATCAACTCCAAACAATGAGTCCTGAGAGTGAAAAGGTTCCAAAATTCAGGGTCGAAACACAGGCGCTCCTTGAGCATCTGGAAAAAAGAAAAAAAAAACAATAATGAAATGGCATGTTACAAGTCATAAGGCGATCCCATCTATATTATTGTTACCTGCAGAATATGAAAGCGAACACTGGTCGGGACAGGGTTATTATGAGGATGTGGCTCCTGATCGGGATGCATATAAAGCAGGCAGACAGTTCGGTACACCTCAAGGCTTCGTTCCTGGCAAAAAACAAGCAGGGCACACGCTCGACAAATCTCCAGGTCACGAGGCAGCAGGAAGGCGATTGTTTTGCAGACCAGTGACTGGGTTACAGAGTCAGCCTGCTCATCACACAGCTGTAAGGCCCTGGCACAGAGCTCCACGCAGACCTGGACCCCTTCAGAGCCCAGCTATTCCAAAAGAGAAAACAATGAATTTTCAAAAGTGAAAGTGTGCATAAAAGAATAAAAATGGTAAGGTAATATTTTTAAGTATATTTTAGTGTGAAGCATAAAAACAAAGTTAAGTGTCAAGTACTGTACATCTTTGAAAAAACTTTTCATTCAATGTCTAAAGGAAAAGAAAACCTACTTGCTAGTAAATGGTCTGTGACGTAGTTATAAAAACTGTGCAGAGTACAGTTTTTGTGCAGGGGTTCTCACCTCTGTGGTAACCAGTTTGATGAAAGGGAATATGGCTCTGACATTGGTAACACATGAAGCCAGCTGCAAGCACTCGGATAGGAAACCTTGTCGGGACGGATGGGCCCGAAGATACAACCTACTCCAGATGAAAACCAGGTCCCTGCAACAAATAAATTGATAAATAAATTTAGTATTGCCTGGACTAAATTATTTTTTGGACATCTTAAGAACAGGTGGAGGCATGTAAAACATTTTGCAGGGAAAAAAATGATGGCTGCAGGATGTTCTATAAGAAGTTAAAGTAAATGGGCAGTGTGGTGGTCTGGGCAATGTCTTGGAAACACTGAGACCTTTGCATTCTGCAAAATAACGCTGGTACAACATAAAACGTTTTGGTAATGGTTGGAAACAACATGAGACAACTTCTAGGACTATTTGGTACCCACAGGAAAACTTGTGAGTTCTTGTAGGGTCAATGTTTGAAATAGGAACTACCGGTAATCCGACAGAATGCTGGTGACTTAATATGTCCCAATTCTAATTTACAAAATCTCAAAATATCTGTTCAAACGTAAGTTTACTGTGTCCAAATACTTATTTTAAACATCTTCAGTTAATCCAAAATGCTGCTGCCAGAATCTAACTGGAGTTAGTAAGAGACCATATCCAGAATTGAAATCAAAATCTTACTTCTAACCTACAAAGTTCTCAACAACCTAGCTCCATCTTATTGTTCCATATTTTCCCAACAGAGCAATTCGCTCTTAGACTGCAGGCTTACTCGCTGTTCCTATAGTTTCCAAAAGCAGAATGGGAGGAAGATCTTTCAGTTATCAGGCTCCTCTCTTGTGGAACCAACTTCCAGTTTCTGTCCGTGAGGCTGACACATTGTCCAGTTTTAAAACTGGGCTTAAGACTTTCCTTTTTGATCAATCCTATAGTTAGGGTTGGCTTGTCATGCTGTCTTAAGCTTAGACTACTAGAGGACAAATTGATCTAATTTCCTTAAATTAAATAGTTTTTATTTGATACTATTTCAATCTTAACATGTGATTCTTGACCTGCCATTGTGTATCTGTTCCTCTCAAACTCAGTCGGTCGAAGCAGATGACCACTTGTCCTGAGCCTGGTTATGCTAAAGGTTTCTTCCTTTCCACTGTCGCCTTCCTGCTTGCTCAAGATGAGAGTTCTGTGATGGAGCTAAATTCAAAATAGTCTGCTCCTCAGATAAATAGTGTTAACTTATTTTTTATATATGAACGTTTCTGTTCAGTGCCCTGAGATGACTTCTGTTGTGACTTGGCGCTATATAAATAAACTGAATTGAAATTGAATTGTATCCAAAATCCTAAAATCCCCCCCCTTAAAAACACATTTAACTATAACATAAAATTATTACAGATTCACATTAAAAATCAACATCAAGCGTACAATTGCTCTAAATAAGAAATGTTGTAATGCACTATACCTCTAAAAATGTTACTTACCAGATGTAATACATGTCCCCATTATTTAACTGCCGAGTGAGAAACGTTTTGCACAATGACAACAAAAGTTCATCTTTCTCCACACTTTCTGTGTTGCAGATGATCTCCACTGCATCACGGCCATCGAGTTCTGCCATCTGAGGAACAATATTTCATTAATAACAAGCAAATAATTTCACCAATCCTTTCTTTACTTGTCATGCTCTTCTTATCTTACTTCTTTCTGGAGGTTTTCATATAGTGAGGCCTTGTAAAGGCAGGTCAGGTAGGCCTGATGGAAGTACAGATGCTTTCCAGTTTCAGGATTTTCCAGACAGCATTTAGCCAGAGCCATGGCCTCCTGTAATCGTTCACAGGCTTGCATATACCGAACCCGCAGCTCCAAAAATATTGGCAATTCTGAACTCAAGTAGCTCTCAACTGTGAAAGAGAAAATTAAACATTAAGAGGGTATTTCCATTGTGACTGCAAGTAATAAAAAAGTGATATTGCCATCATTAAAAAACACTTACTTTGTTATAATAAACCGTAAATGTTATTTTTAAACGTAAATGTGCTTGATAAAATTATTCTTTAAATATATATATTTTGCTTACACTTGAAATCATGAGAAACACAATTTACATGTTTGTTAAAAAAAAAAAAAACAAGACTGCTACAATAAATAAAAATGGGATTTTTTTTTTAAAGAACATATCTAAATTCATTATAAATGTTCAACAAATGGCACAAAACTTAACAATTTAGGCTGATAGTTCAGCAGTGGATAAACGTGAAATGAAAATAACCAGCACCACCATCCCACAGATCTGTGTGTAACACAAATCTGTAACTATCAACCAACAAAATAAACAGCCAAACTCCAGGAGTTCCACCAACAATTAGCTTTAGATAGATACTTACTCTCATTTGGTGGCAATTCTGCCTCTTTCAGAATTCCTTGCAACACTGGATTCTCCCATGGACCTCCTCCTTTGATAATCTGCTTCATGTGCTGAAGGTAGATGTTCCTGTATCTCAGGAGTTTAGAGTGGCATTCCTGAAAAAAAAAAAAAAAAAAAGTCAGTAAATTAAAATCTTCTTTAAGGTTTAGCCAATATTTTTTGTAACATTGAATAGTAAGTTTAAGAGTGATCCACAATGACTTTGTAACATAAAATTACAAACATTAGAAATTGTCATCCTAAATCTTTGAGATCAGTTTTGTTGCTGCAGTTTCTTTTGCTGGATGCTCTGCTTCTGCATGTTGTAATTATATATATATATATATATATATATATATATATATATATATATTTTATTTTATTTTTTTTTAAACTAAGGCTACATTTACACTGCAGGCAAAATGGTCCAAATAATATTTGTCCTCCTCATGCATGAGATTTTTTCCCCGTTTTATGAAAGTCTGAACATGTCAAATTAATTGTTTTCAACTCCAATACCAGTCTTTTTCATGTGGTAATCAGAAACATATCCCATGTTTGCAAAGCGATCTCCATCTGAACGGTCATGTCACATTTCATCTGCCTTTTACATCAATGACATATGGATATGCGGAATGAGCCAACTATAATATTTATACCACCCTTGTGCAGTTTAAATCTTAAAACTCTGCACATCTTCAGCTACAGAACAAGAGTCCAGTTGCTTCAGGGTTTTTTTTCTTTTAATTTACCATGTCTTGAATGACTGCAAATCTACAGCAAAATATGATACAAACACTGGTGTTGGACTATAATGATACGTCGTGCCCGTTCCAAAAATACGACGTTGCACCAGAGTAACCAACAAAGGGCAAGATCAAATGCAAATACCAGACAAAACAATCATGTTAGATAATAATTTAAAGGTCCTGACTGCACAACCACTTCAGAATTGATACAATCCAACACCTGTAGTATTCATATTTAAATTCCACAAAGCGTGTGAGCTCGCTGCAGGGCCATAGAGTTCTTGCTGGAGTTTGATAACAGTCGCACTTTAAAAAATTATGACCGACCACAAAAAATAATAATAATTCTGATTTGAGTATTAAGACATTAGTGTGTGAACGTAGCCTATGGAATAGGACATTTGCTTAGCTGTAGTCACCTGAAAAGAATCAAGCATGTCTTTTAAAGGCTCTTCCACAAACTCCTCCTTGCTGAAAAATAGCATCAGCTCGAAGAAGCTCCTGCAAGACAAGTAGAGGAACATACAGTAAGTCTAGGTAAAAACAAAAGAAAGCATCCTAAAGCAATTAAAACAGCCGCTTCAGTCTTGGTTTATGATTTCTCATAAGATCAACAAAGAACAATACTGTAGCTCCAAACGTGGATCCTAAAAGCAGCATATTCTTGTGCTGCAGTTCATGTGAACACTTCATTTCAAGTGACAAGTGAACAATGACTGTTGGAGATAGTGACTCAGAAGAAGGAAAGCACTCACAAGGCCAGACTGCTGAGGACATATTGAACGTGCTGGCAGTCGTTGGGAAAGGCAGCCGTGGCTTTTGTAAAATTAGAGAGTGCAGTCCGCAGCACCTTGAGCTGAGGGAGAGGAACCTGCCACTGACCGGTGTACTCCTCCACAAGCTGTGAAACAAGAGCAAAACTAAATTAGAGCAGATCAAAAACATTCAAATAGTAATAGTCCATCTTCTGTTGTGTTGCAAGCTCCACAACAGCCTGTGACAGATCGTAACACTTTATATAAGCAACAGACAATAGAGTTCAGGATACTGTGAGAAAAAAAATATAAGAGGAAAGGTGCAGCTACAGTTGGCATTAAAAGCTTCTACTTACATAATGCTCGTGATATCTGCTTATTATTGCAAAGACAGTAAAATAATCACCAGAAACATATGAAGCAGTGCTGTCAAAGTATAAAATCTTCAGCACTGTAAGGTCGTTGTGTTAACAATACAAAAGTAAATGCATCTCGTATTCTTTTTATTTTAATTTATTTATTTTTGAATAAAAAGCTTCACCTATAACCTTTCAACATATTAACAAAACCAGTTCGTTAATTTAAATATGTAATACATTTAAAAAAAACAACGTATTTATAGAATTCTTCCTTGTCTAGACTCAAATCATCGCGTCTATTAGCTTAGCTTACCAAACAAAGCTACAATGGTTAGTGTAATTTAAAATGACAGATAATGAACATTGTTGTTACATTACATCACCAAACCAGAATTGGTATTGCATTATATCAAATGCAGGTGTTAATACACAGATGGCAAAAGTTTATGCCGCAATAACAGCACGAATAGTGCCAGACTGGAGGCTAATGTTAGCTGGAGAAGCTAGTAGCGTTAGCACTCAAGAAACAATGATTCTCTTATTCGCCTTTGAAAATGATTCTTACGTACCTCACAAAACTCAGAGCAGTACTCCTTACTGTTCAGAGAGGACTCGTTGCTGCAGTGTCTGAGACACAGAGCATCCAGGGCTGAATCAAGCCCGTCTGTTTCTAAATCGCTTTCGTTGTCCGCCATACTGTCTGCTGTATCCAGCGCATACTCACAGTTGCCAGGTTTGTTCCACAGCGTTCACCTATTCTTGCCTATTCTTACCCCATTATCTCCAATGAAGGAATCCCCAATCTGGCAACCAGTATGGATGTTACTGTATGGGTCTTTTATTTATTATTTTATGTTTTTATTTTCCCAGGAACATCTTAAAGAAATATAACTTTTCTTCAAATATGTAAGTGAAACGTCGAAATTAGTCAAACTTATGCAAAGGTGGTAGAAATGAAATGAACTACACTGAACAGCCTGGAACTAAAAATGCATCAGCATCTGATAACGTTATTTAGTTTTTTTTCCTCGTTTTTTAACAATTTTCTTTCATTTATTGTTCCCAATTTATATGTTTTCTTTTATGATTGTCTACTATTGCCATTGTTTTCCATTGCTGTCATCATTCTTTGTTAAAAACATATCTCTCTCAAACGAGCCATCGTGGCTCAATGCGATTACCTAGTATAAATAAAGGTTGAATGAAAAATAACACTATACGAAAGAGACACAGTTGCTTTATTCCTGTCTGATTCGTGTCAGGGTTTTGACTTAATATTGAGAACATTAAATGATGAGAAAAACGTGTTTCCTTGTTAGTTAGTTTTGTTTATAGGCAACATATTCTAATTAATTAAGGATCTACAAAATAAAAAAATAAAAAAAGGTAATACGACCTAATAAAAATATACACACGAGACAGATTTTTCATCAGCTTGTATTTATTAACTGACTAATTAAGCTATAATAAGCTAAACAAACAAAAAAAATGCCCAGGTCCATATCCGGTTATGGAAATGTGAAGGTCTCAGTTCTGCCTATAAACCAGAAGGGGGCGCCATCACATTGAATCACATAAAACAGTCAGGAGACTGAATAAATTATCAGTGAAATTTATTTTATTTTTTGTTATTCCTGTACAACTCTCTTCTTAAATACAGAAATAAAATATTCTGATATATTCTCTTATGAACAAATCGTTCAGACAGGGACACCCAGAAAGGACAGAGTGTACTGGTCACACTGATTTTTTATTTTTTTTAGATTATTACACACCTAGTCTTATTTCAGCGGTATACAGTAAAACCCTCACTCTTGACTCATCCACAAGACTTCCTTCAGCATATCATGAACACTCTTGAAGGCAGTAAAAAATAGAAGTACTATTCCAAGTATTTGAGTGGGAGTATTATAATGAGTATTTCTTCCTTGGTATATCTCACGTTCAGATGACCAGATGCTGGCTGTGGTGGGAGTTAAGATGGAAGGTTTCAAGGTAGATAAACAAAAAGATTAATGCATTAAGGAAAATGTGGAAATCACACAAAAGCACAAAGAAAAAGCCAGTTTCTTATAACATATAATGTGACATCAGAAAATTGTTAAAGCCGTTTCTTCAGTTTTTCATTCCAAGAAAGTATATACCAGCCCAAACTTAATTGCTTTTCTCTGACCAAACCAGAAATTGGTTTTGTTGCACTGACACATGTGAGGCAGTTTACGCTTTTGCATGGATCAGACAAGCAATACAAATGTATATATATATATATATATATATATATATTCATATTCATTCTTAAATGAGCATTTAAATAACATACCATACCAATAATAAATAATTTCCCTGGGAAATTAACACTGATTATCTGGGATTACACTGAAAAAGAGCTGATTTCTCAGCTGAGGCATCCGTCCTCTAAGAGTTCCTCAGCCCCTTCACATCTATCTTTAGTTACTGTATGTGCATTTGTGACAAGAGGTGATCGACTGTTCCTGGTGATCATTGCAGTTTGCAGAGATTTTCACGAGATGTCCTTGATTTCATAGCACAACTTGTACTTCTTTTTCTACTGCCACTAGATATTACTCAGCCCAGCAGTGCTCTCTTCTTGAGATGACTTTGCTGATGAACAACGGTAAAACAAAGCCCGTCTCTGTTTAAATCATTTATCTATAACTTGGCAGCTGGTGGCCAAGTAAAAGCAGTGCACAGTTTGAGTTTAATATCATTCTAACGAGGGCTTGTCTCAGTTTAATTATTTTCCTCAGTTATGTACTTGGAATTTAGTTTCGGGTGAAGCTAAGAATACTTTTTTCTCCCCATCATTAAAGTAACTGTGACCTTATCTCTGAGCCTTCATTTGTGAGGTTACAGATCAAGGTGCCAGAAAGACATTGTCACGTCTCAATGTCACATTCAGGCTCCTGTAATTTAGGACTTCTCAGTGAGAAGTAACTGGCACATGCATAAATAATTCAAGCAATGACAAAAATATCCTTTAGCTTGTACCAATAAGTCAAGTGACCCCAAAACTAGTTGCAACTGTGGGAAATTAAGCACATTGCAGCTTAAAACTATTTTTAAGACCTTCAATGGGTTTCTGTGCAGATTAACCTGCCTGTTTAGTTTTATTAAATGGTACTGACAGTTTGTGAAGACTTTAACATTTTCTATATTTCTGCATAATTATGACTTAAAACGTCAGGTTCACACAAGAGAACCCAGAAATGAGACAAAAATAATATACTTGGTAATTTACTTATTGAGGAAAATGATCCAATTGTGAGTTTTGTTGAGATTACTTCCATCTGTATTCCACATTTTTTTATTTAATCAGTTTTTTTTTTTCAACCAGTTTTCTCTCTTTTCCCTGTTAAATTAAGCCCTTAGAATAAAAAAAAGTGTTTTTTTATGTGCATGTGTAGTAAAATATAAAAGATTTTTAAACCTAAACGTTTTATTTTTGAACAAAATTATCTAATTAAGAATTAAATCATATTTGCCAAGTGTTTCTATGCTCATGGGCAATACAGTTTCAGATACACCCTCTTTTCATTTTAACAGAACTCTGCTTTATTAAAGTAAAATTCATTTATTGGAGGTGTTTTCAAGGTGACGAACAAGAGCTGCATCTCTAAGCCCTTCTGACTGCAGTTGTTCATTCTAACCTTTCACAAAATGTTAATGACAAACATGACGTTTTATGAAGTCACATCGAATCTTAATCACTTTAGACGGTCAAATAATTAAAGTCAGAATGACACATTCATATTTGTTAGGATGTGTTGCAGCACTGATACCATATTTTACAAGAACTACTGCTGTTAATGACTTTTTGTGACAATCAGAGAAAAATAAGTCATTTTTATAACATCATGGCCACATATAATATTGACTTGCTATGCTATAATTTACACATGTTCTGTATTTTAGTCAGGAGTTGAGATGACAAAATTGAAGTCGTTAGATAAGACAGATGGAATGGCCAGCTATTTTTGGACCTTATAATGAAGCTGGTCACTGGTGGTTAGAGACCAGACCTCAAAAAGTTCAGTAATGGCCCATTTTTCACACAATCAACATGTCAGTGTTCATTTACACACACAACAATTAAGAATAAAAAGATAATGGGGAATTTTATGAATATAAAGTTGGATTTTAACGTAGATTTTTATTCCAAAACTCTGAACTGATCCCAGTTGAAGTTGATGAAAATGGTGAAACGGGAATCAATATTTTTTTTCCTCTTTGAAAGAATTCTTTCTGTGGCACATTGGGTCAACATTCCTTTAGCATAAGTCTGTATCATGGTTACGTTTTTGTCACACATGTACGTCAAATAGTTTGTGGTATTGATCACCCACAACAAACTGTCAGAGGTAATGACTGCACCTAATAAGTCTTCTGAAGGCTTTTTTAAAGTCTTCATTAAAGATGGTGTAGATGAGCGGGTTGATCAGAGAGTTAAGGTAGCCCAACCATGTAAGAAAGTCAGCCATTTCCATGGAAGTATTACAAGAACTGCATGTGTTGACAATCACTTCCTTGACAAAAAATGGTAGCCAGCAGATGACGAAGGCTCCTATTATCAGTCCCAATGTTGATGCTGCCTTTCGCTCCCTTGAGCCTGAGATCCGAGGTCCTTGGTAGAACTGGCTTCGACGAGACTCAGTACTTGATTCCTGTTTGTGTGACTTGCTCTGAAAAGCCTTTCTTGAGACCCGAACACGATCGCGCGGCGTTTCCTCAGTCGAGGGTTCAGAGAAAGACTTTTCCTGCGGGCTATTAGGAGCTGGACTTTGAGGCCCACAATCAGCATCACTGTCTCCAGGAGGGTAGGATGAAGGGATCATGCTCCCATTGGTCATGCATGAGTGACGGCTAGCCCTGCTAGCCTCCCTCCGCATATAAAGTGTCTGAGCAGCCTTGTAGATTTTATAGTACAGAATAAGAATGAGCAGCAGTGGAATGTAAAACGCTCCGAGAGTGGAATAAAGAGTGAAGGCCATGTGATGGTGGATGATAATGCACTGGTCTTCATGTTCTGCATCATCGCTGTAGTGCCGCCACAGCAGCGGAGGAAGGGAGATGAGGATGGACAAAAGCCAGACCACTGCCACCATCGCACCAGCCCTGGCTCCAGTGCGCTTGCGAGAATACTCCACAGCATCGGTAATAGCCCTGTAACGGTCAATGGCAATTGTCGCAAGGTGTAGGATGGAGCATGTGCAACAAGTGATGTCCACACTTAACCAGACAGTACACACCACCTCACCCATGACCCATTTCTCCTTCTGGATGTAGATGATACTGAAAGGCATGACCAGCACAGCCACCAGTAAGTCAGTCACTGCCAATGAGCAGATGAGGTAGTTGGCTGGGTGGTGCAGCTTGCGAGTGACGGCGATAGCTGTGATCACCAGGCAGTTAAAGAATGTAGTGAGGATGGTCACTACAGAAAGGACTATAGTCAGTAGGATTTTACTGGGAGGGAGTCTGGCAATCTCAAATGAGGCATAACTGCTGCTGTTCGTGTCAAACGCTCCTTCCGTCCAATTGAGGAAATCCATTCTGCAAAATAAAATAGAAAGAGGTGGTGCATGAAACAATAAAGGCGATAAAAACAAATTCTTTCAATTTAAGCCTCACCGTTAAGAATGGAATGACATGACAGGTTATTCTGGCACAGAATTTAAACTCAGTAACTAAACTTTTCAAAAGTCACTTGTTCACCTCTTTTTTGGGGGGTTTGCACTTTATATACAAAAGATATCAAAGTGTATGAAAAGAACCTTTTCATTCAGCGATATGCTTTTAAAGTGAAAAGGACTTTGAAGACTTTGCTCAAGGCCATGAAACGACTCAAGCTTTAAAAATCTCATCTCGCTCAAAGAAGTTCCCCCTTAAAGTAATTGTAGTAATCCAGTCCTACCTGTCTACACTTTGATGTTTTGTCTCATCTAGTTGGTTCAGTGTGCAGCAGACCGTCTGCTGAAGTCTGTGCTGCCTGCTAAATCCGCCATCACCTCACCTCTGTCGCTCAGTGCCTAAAAGAAAGGAAGAGCGATAAGAAAACTGAAAAAGATGCACTCTAAAAGCCAACATTATTTCTACTTATAAGTTTACAGTTTTAAGCTTGATAGAAAAGCTTCACATCAGTATGCCATTATTGACATTGCTACAATAAATGTTGATATACGTCTATCTTAAAAGTTTAGTTTTAGTTCAGTTTATTTCAAGATTCAAGGTTGAAGTTCTTTGTCATTCGCATCACATGTGGTAGATGAGGTGGAACGAAATTGTGTATGCAAGGTCCCAGTTACACCCCAAAATAGCAAAAATATAAAGCATAAAAGTAAAAGTATATAAAGATCTAAGATATACACTAAGATATATTCTAAACAAACACTAAACAATAGGTTAAAAGATCTAAGATATACATTAAACACTAAAATAATCTAGTATATTAACAGCAGCTCGTGCATGGATTGAAAGTTTTTTTTTTTTTTTTTTTTTTTTCCAAGGGGGGACACCCCAGGGGGCGCTAGGGGGCCCAAAAAAGCTGGAGCGAGGATAAAAAAAAAAAAGCAAAAATAAAAAACATGTTTTCTTATTATTTTATATATTTTTTTATTACTGTAATAAAATCGAATCTGTTTTTTTCAAAAATTATTTAAAAATACATTTTATAATAATGTATTGAAATATTTTTTTCACCATGCTCATCTTTCTGATTGGCTTCCAGTCAATGTATCAAGCTGCTTTACTCTTCAAGCTAGTATAGCAAGGATGGCATGAAGACATTTCTGAAAAGACAGAAGGAACTGACCAGCAGCCCTGCTGTGGTGGAAATTGCTGCAACCCCCTGGACTCAGACCACATGACCTTCTCCCATTGCTCCAGAGTCCAATCCTTATGCTCCCTAGCAAATTGAAGCTTTTATTTCCCAGTTAGCCTCACTGATTAGTGGTTTTCTTAAGGCTACACAGCTGTTCAGTCTCAATCCCTTGAGTTCCCTTCACATTGTGCGTGTGGAAATGCTCTTACTTTCATTAATAAACATAGCCCTGAGTGCTACTGTTGTTTTTCTTTGATTTGATTTCACCAAACGTTTAAGTGATCATCGATCACGATCATTCAGGATTTTTTTCCAGCCACATTTCTTTCCTCTAAGACGATGGGTCCCCACTATCCTTCCAGTTTTTAATAATGCGTTGGACAGTTCTTAACCCAGTTTTAGTAGTTTCTGCAATCTCCTTAGATGTTTTCTCTGTTTGATGCATGACAATGATTTGACCCTTCTCAAACAGACTGACATCTTTTCCACGACCACGCGATGTGTCTTTCGACATGACTGTTTAAGAAATGAGAAGCAACTCATTGCACCAGTTGGGGTTAAATAACTTGTTGCCAGCTGAAAGATAACCACCCATGCAGTAATTATCAAATAGGAGGCTCCTACCTATTTGGTTAGTTAAATCCAGGTGGCGACTTTTTTTTTTGGCCAGGCAGCAATACAATGTTTAAAACATGTTAGTTAATAACATTTTTATGCGCAACAGCTGTAATATTTGAATATAGGGAATAAAAGTTAAAACGTTCTAAAAATTGAGGTTTCTTTTTATATTGTTTGTGGGTTTGCGCGGGAGACCTCAGCCAGAAGCTAATGCTGTAGGGGGGCCATGTCATGGAAAAGTATGGGAACCCCTGGTTTAAGACACACATTTGAAAAACCTGTCTGCTTTTATTGGCAATTTATTTGTAAAATTGGCCAAGAGGGTGATAGATAACAAACATAAATAAAACTAGGATATATACTTAGACATGTTGGGCATATTCAAAGCTAAATTTTCTACAGGAAAGCCTCATACCTGTGCATTAAAGGCTGTGTAACTGCAAACGTCATGCATGCAACAAAGCTATAACATACTAACTAGTAGTGACTAAACACTATGACATATCTCATGTAAAAACAAACAAGTAAAAAGAAGGTAAAAACAGACCGAGCATGTTTTACTTTTAAAACAATAAAAAAAAAAATGCTGATGCAAGCGATCTGTAGGAACCAATGACAGTATATGTGGGTTTGCTCTTAAAATACATTTGAGAACCATAATTTTCTTTTCTACAATTTGTAGATCAAATTAATATTCGTAAATGTGACATTTCTTGTCGTTTTCTGTATAAATACTTCAAACACACTTAAAAAAATCTCACAATATAAAATTACTGACATAAGCTAAATCAGCGGCTTTAGTTTAGTTTATATGCAAAGTCATATCCATGTCCCCATATGCAGCCACATATGCAAAGTAAGCTGGTGATTGTATATTAATAAAGCCACTTACTATAATTTAATCAAATTGCAAAGATATTACTGTCATTGCAGCTTTTCTTAAATTCTCCTTCACTGCATTGTTCTGTATCCCGAAGACACTGTTGCTATAGAAACCCAAGGAGTACAGTAATTTTATTTAATGTGATGATCTAGCACAGGCAGATAAACTCTGAGCCAAGGTCTCTACAGAGACTGCTCAATTTTAAGGAGTTAGTTCATGTCTAGGTGGGTGGGATGACATGGCGATGTGCTGCGTGAGTTACGATTTCAGTTGATGAATTTGTTTAAAAAAAATAAACTATGGTGGTGTAAAATGTTTTAAAAGATGTACTTCCCAAAGTACATTTTCACCAGTTACTTAAAGCAAAAGTGCTGCAGCTGACGATACATCATTATGCTTGAAATCCACAAAAAGTCCAATTCTGGACTAAACTGCAGCTGTTAGGAGACCAGTTAACTGTGTTTCTTCCTCATTGCAATAATTATGGCCTTTAAAGACAACAAAATTGCCTTACTCTGCATTACAATGCAATTCTGCATTCCTCGTCCTTGAATGAGCTCGACAGAAAACCCAACAGTATGCAGATTACTTTGTGCAGAAAGATAAACGATAATTACAGTTGAACTGATGTATTGTTAGTCAAACATCTGGCAGTAGATTTTTATTTTTTTTTGCATTGATTGTGCACAAACGTGTCCTAAACATATGCAATGCAAAAAAACAAACAAAAAAAAAACAGTTTAACAGTTTGTATCTATTTATTTGTAGTGATTGGCAAGTGCAGTCGCGTCATGCATTGTGCACAACAAATAAATCGTCTTCTTTCATTTGGAAATGTTCTAAAGCGCAGCTTTTTTCCTCAAGGCCATCTGAAGATAAGCTCTACTGAGCAAGCATAAATCTGCTCTGGTCTGTTTTATTCCTAAAACAAATGGAAAAAAAAAAAAAAAAAAAAAAACTCCATCAAGTTCTTTACACAAATTTAGCAAACTGGGAAAAAAAATAAAAAAGCAACATTATTCACAGACGTATCGCCACATTGCTTCAGAATTATCTGGCAACTTTCTAGTTTTCTGTGTGTGTGTGTGTGTGTGTGTGTGTGGGGGGGGGGGGGGTGTTAATGCTACTGCATTACTTTCAGTGTTCATTGTTTACAAAACCTGCCTATTTCAAACTGGATAAGATAAGATGTGCGAGTTACCAGCTTTGCCGAGTGATTTGTAATGGGCGCCAGATTCCCCATTATTAGCAGATTTGCTTAAGCTGCAGTATTATTGTACAACTGCGCGTCTGCATTCTACAAGCAGCGCATTCATGTTAAGAATGAGATGGCTGACAAAGCATAAACGTGTTAAAATACTTATTTTGACGTTCAGCAAAAAGTCTTGTTTTAATCCAGTGCCAATCAATGTACCTCAGTCGTGGCTCAAAACAAAACAAAAAAATTACTCGATGTGCACCGATCGGCCACAACAGTACAACCAGTCACCAAAAAGTATGCATCTATTTGCCACCACAACACATCTAGCAAGCATGGGCAAGAAAACAGCAGGGGGTGTTCTGGGTTGTTTGGTTCCAGGCTGTCAACAGAATGAACTGTGGCTTGCTTCCCACATTTATCACAAAACCTCGTCCGACTGGTGTCTGGGGATTTTAAAAGTTGTTTGGAAGACTGCTTTTGTCTTGTTCTTTTTTTTTTTTTTTTGAGCCACCCTTGAGTTTTTATTTATGCATTTATTTATGATTGTTTTGTGAAGCCCACGGCTGTCCTGTGGAGTGAAAGACTACTGCGAGAAAGTGCTGATTTTTGGTTTGGAAAAACTTTGAGGTAGAAATGAAATGTCATAGTTACATGAAACATTATGACACTGTAGAGCGATGGGTACTCACTTCACCTTTGTGACTGATTCTATCTGTGTAGATTGTTCTCACAAACCCATGCTTTTATTAAAATTTCTCAAACAACAATAAAAATGAAAAAAGAAAATTAAAAGTCAGCTCTTTGACAGTCTTTCACTTTCCTCCCTGCTCCCTTACAAGAACAAGGATGCTGCTGCATCTGTCAAGTCCGATGTTTGAAACACAATTTGGCCAAGGCAAGCCGTTCAGCTGCCATGTGCTGGTGTGAAGGAGGAGAACGAGCCTCTTTGTGTGACTGACAGCTCAGGAACCATGAAAAAAAAAAAAAAAAGACATATGAAGACATTGCACTTCTCATTTGTTTGCTAGTCTGTGCTGTTTGTTTCTTCAATTTCATATTTAGTTGGAGATGCATAAGAACGTCTGGCAGAGGAAAAACAAAGCTTCCGAGAACTGTCTAAGGAGCTGAAATGTTGCTTTAGTTGTTTTTTGTTGCTGAGTAAAAGAAATGTAAGTAAACTTTTTATTCATGGTGTCTAGGAAAAGTGTTATTTGCACATTTCAGTTGATTATTATTATTTTTATATTCCAATCATTTTTCTTTTCATTTGTAATTAATAATTATATTTTTGCAGAGTTAAATACTGTAATTAAAGCAAAGATGGCAATAAAAAACATGATTTTATCTTGATTTTTTTAATTTAACCTTTCTTTATACAGGTAGTCTCAATGAGTTATGAGGACTCATTTTGAAGAGAGACCTGTTTGGGAGCAGATGGT